TTTTCTTGCTTTTCTAATCTTTGATTTATCTCCCTTCAGATTTCAACATCTGCTGCAATATGTTTGCACAGGTTAGTGAAATTTACTCCCTTTGTCCAGCTCTGTAATTATCCTACACCCTTATTCCTTCTCCAGTAATCATCAGTGTTGACCTGGCAACGTTTGTTCTTGGTTTGGCTACTTTTCTTTTGAAAGTCAGACATTCTCTGTATTTTATTAAGGTAGAATAGAAAAACCTAAAGGAAACAAAGTTCAGTTCTTAATACATATTTCCTTTATTAGTAATTTTTATGAAAGTACAATTAACTATGGTCTCTATATAAACAACAAGAGGGAAGAAAAGTCACAAATACCAAAGTATAAAACTCAAAGGTAAATCCAGTGGTTACTGTATTTCCATTTTTGTAGGATTCAAATAAAAACTAATTGAAAGAAGTAACCATGTATTTTAGGTTGTGGATGTACCCAATTTTATTAAATAAGCAGATGTCTAAGGATAAGAGTAAATTTATGTCTACCAAGAGTACAGTATCAGCAAATCAGCAAGTGTCACTTCTGTTATTTATTAGCTATTTCACTGCTGTGGAACCAGATATCCTAAAGTTAATGTATTGTGATTTCATTTATTAGGATTTCTCTGACTACATACTTTTAAAAATGTTTTGACAATATAAGCCACTAATAGAAGATTGATTAGAAAGTGGAGTATACAAGTTCAACATGTGGAAATGAAGTGTAAAAGAGTGTATTCTTCTTTACAAAATACTATACAAAAGATGTCAACCCTGACTTAGGTATCTGTGTGCTTAATCTGAACAATTTTCAGATCTTCTAAAAAAATGAAAAGGATCCCATAAAGAAGTTTCCAAAATAGTTTGTTGTGAAAAAGATATTTGTATTTTCTTTTTTATTTTTGTTTTAAGATGTATGAATGCAAATATTACATTTAAAGAAAATTGTCTTCCCCTTTTTATTTCCGCCTCATACATCTTTAAAAACTAGAAGTTGCAACCAACTTGTCTTCATTTATCTTCATACACAATTAGATTATTGTCATTGATCTAAGCTCAATTTTGGCATTCTCGACTTCCAGCTTGGTGCTTATTAGGGATCATTGGGCACACAGCCTTTCCTGAGACTAAGGAACATAAAAGATAATATCATGCAGGCTGTTGGTGATGATTTCAGTTCAGTGTGATAACTCATGTGGAAAACTAATGTAAGTAGTAGCATATTAAGTAATGATAGAGAAATTTCAAAGGTTCAGAGACTTAATTGGTTCCGAAAGGCACACAATTTGCTTTTTCCAAACCATACAAATCTCTTGAGTTGTGTATCCTTAGCCTTGAAATCTCATAAGACCAAGATTCCTTGTAGTATCTTTCTACTTTTGGTTGAATCAAAAATCTCACAAGAACATCCTTTTCACCGGTATTTTGGTACTTTGGTTCTGGTTCCAATGGCAGTTTGAAATTGCTGAGCTGTGTGGAAATTAAAAATATAATAGGACATAGAAAGGAGAAGTGGGTAAGATTTGGTTCAAGGTGTTGGGTCAGTTTTTATTTTAGACAAATAGGTTTGCTGATCTGAAGTGGGGTCCACTAATTGCTGGGGCACCTCCTACTGGCTGACCTGGGGATTAGCTTGACCCAGAAAGTTATTTCCTGTTCTACCACTCATCCAGCCACCTGTCTGTTGGTGTCTCTCTCTGACTCAGGATGCTCTCTTTTTGTGGCTTATCCTTCTGGCCAGATATCTATAGTAATGTCCTCCACTTCCATGGAATCCCATACACACTGTATCCAGCAGTCTTCCCATTCAGCCTGGTCTATACTAGACCCGGAAGGTTGGTTTAAGGTATGCAACTCCAGTTATGTAAAATGCGTTGCTGGAGTTAGCTTACCTTAAGCCGAGCCATGGCGGACACAGTGGGAGGCCGACAGGCACGTTTGTTCCTGTCAGCTTCCCTTACCCCTCGCAGAAGATGGAGTACTGGATGTCAGCGATGGCTGCCCTCTGCATTCGATTTACGGGTCTATACTAGACCTGCAAAATGGAACACTAGAATTTTGTCCTCTGGAGTGTTGATATTCTGGTAAGTATAGATGTGGCCTTCATATCCAGACTGCCACTTCAACCGGTGGCTGGCAGGGAAATTCAGGCCCACTCTCTTCTATGGGTTTTGGCGCTAAAATAAGTAGTTATGGTCAGCCATTTTTCATACCTTGCTGCTGTTTCCATGGACTGCTTCCTATGTTGTTTCTATCAGGCTCCTTCTCCACCTTCCTCTGGATATGTTCTTCCCTGCGAAGCTATGGAGAGGAGGAAACTTGGCCCAGAGACAAGGACTGCAGCAAGACCTTCTCTCTGCAGCTCCTTTAAGTTTTTGAAAACTGTTATTGTGCCCCTTCTCAGTCTTCTCTTTTCCAGACTAAACAAATCCTGTTCCTTCAATCTTCTCTCATTGGTCATTTTTCCTAGACCTTTAATTATTTTTCCTAGACCTTTAATAATTGAAGCAAATGGAGTTACATCAGGGATGAATTTGACTTAGTGTCATTTGCTTCACTCTCTTGAATATTATTCACTGCTTTGAGAACCCAGTTCATTAAAATTATGTTTTTAAAAACTGATACCCTGAGCCTACTTTTGATAGATCCCATGGATTCAATGTTATTATAGTCGATCATTTTAAGAATTATTCTGAATATTTCTTCATAAGGATAACTTAATTGTTTGGCTGTCCTGTGATTTCTGTGAAGGGTGGCAAGTCTGTGATGTGATATAAATTAATGGTGACATACAGGAGTCATGAATGGCATACAGAAGAGAGTCCCTCACTAGAAAGATAATTCATAATGATTTGAAAAGAATAATTTGCATTACATCACTTTTTTTCTTTTAAATTAAGCAAGGATTGATTTCAAATGTGATACTAGTGTTATTTTTGGTCAAATTTATCTAAGAATCTTTCCCAAGATGAAACTCAAAGTAATTTTGTTTCATTTAACAGAATGTGTGTGACCACATACTGAAGACCCCCTTAGTATCAACTAAAATCATAACGCTCCCTAAAACAACTTTAAAGAATGACTTACCAGAACCTAAACACACACCTATGCCAATAAATTTCATTTAGTGCAGGAATCTAAACAAATTGTGTAAAACCAAATGCAGCGCAGTTATCAAGGGTGAAATCTGTTTTATGTAGAGTTCTGCCTGAGAATTTTCCCTTTTATTGGTAATCTTGTTGATTTAGTAATCTGTTTAATTTATGTTGACAGAATAATAGAGTTTTTCCTGACTCTGCTAATGTGTGGCTTCCTGATGTTTTCTTGTTTGCTACTGTGTTGGGTCACAGGCTTGGCCTCTTGCATGCTCCTGCACCCCACTCGCGCTTCCTGGCTGGAATGTTGGGTGGGGGGCCAGGGGAGGAGTGGGGCAAGCCCATGACTCCACCTCCTGGCCAGAGCAAGGCAAGCCCATGACCCTGTTATCTGGCTGGAGTGTCTGGTGGTGGAGTGGGGCAAGTGATGGGATAGGCTAGGACAATAAGTGGGTGGACCATGGCCCGCACAGGCCCTCACATGGCTATGCCCCTGAAGCACTACTTCTTTTCTGAATTAAGAAGGCACACTTCCATTGCAACTTTTTTGAAAATGAGTCTCTGCAGAGATGTTATTTTGTCTTTGCATGAAGTGCGTGCAATCTTATAAAACAGTAGTTTGAAATAAAGGCAACAGTTAGGATTTTCTTCTCCTTTTCAAAAGGGTGTGCTAAAAAAAGGAAAGTGGACAGTGAGTGCTTTTTTTACAGATGTGAATATGTAGGCTCTGATTTGTCAGGAGAGCATTCTGGGGTTCAAGAAGTACAGTTTAGTGAAACTTCTTACTTATGGAAGCAATTAAACAACTGAGAAAAGGGCAAGAAAAGCTGAGAGACTTACCATGAACTTAAAAGCTCAGCAAAACATTTGTGTGTAATGGGCTTTATTTTCTGTTGGCAACTAAAGAGTTAATTATCTAATGATCGGGCTACTTCCTCATTATACCAATGATTTGAAGAGGGGATAAGTAAGAATATTTAAACTGAACAAGATAGAAGTTGCAAGAACATGAAACTGGAACATAGGGAAATATAACTGGTGATAACTGAAGGCTGATTATTTTCAGATTGCAGTTAGGTTACCAGATGTGGAATTATATTAAGTAGTGACTGAGAGCCATGTATGAACATTTTATTTTTTGCCAGGTGTGGGAATGGAGTAATTCTACTTAGACTTTTTAGACATAAGAAAATACCTTGATACTTTTTGGGAGTGATATTTAAGATAACACAGGGTGTGTCTAGACTACAGAGTTTTGTCGACAAAAGTGGACTTTTGTCGACAAAACTATACCTGCGTCCACACTACCGCTGAGTTCTGTCGACATAACGTCTACAGAACTCAGCAGTTTTGTCGACTCTGGTAAACCTCATTTTACGAGGCATAACGCCTTTTGTCGACAGAGTTCTGTCGACAGAAGGTGTTATTGCATCTAGGGTTGTGTCTAGACTACAGGGTTTTGTCGACAAAGCAGCTTGCTTTGTCGACAGAACTGAATGTAGTCTAGACACTCTTTGTCGACAGAAGCTTTGTTGACAGTATCTGTCAACAAAACTTCTGTCGACAAAAGCCTGTAGTCTAGACGTACCCACAGAGTTCAGTTGCCAAATTTATGTATTTTCAAAAGCACTCTTGAATTGGATAACTGTGTATACAACTAACCAGCCCCCCTTTTTAAATAGTTTCTGATGTCAGTATCTCATGTGGCATTTGTAAAACATTTTTAAAAATTATAACAAACAGCATTGGTTTACTTTCTGAAAACTAAAATGTGGTTGAAAACAGTATGTGTGGTGGGGAAAGGGGAGAGTTATAAGAAATATTTGAAAAAAAAAATCTATTTCCACCTCATCTTTTCTGCCCTTCCTTCCTTTTCTGTTCTTTCTTTCCACAGATGCAACATGTAAAAGAGAGGCTTGGTGAAGATGTACAAGAAGAGGTGCTTCTGCTGTGTCTTGGCATCACTTCAGGGATTGGACGATTGATCTTTGGCAGAGCTGCAGACTATATTCCTGGTGCCAAAAAAGTTTATTTACAGGTACAGCTTCTGCATGATAATTCAGTAGGCTAAAAGTCAGCTTTGTGCACTTTTTCTCATTCTTCTAATTAATATTTTGTTAAGATCTGAGTTGGTGATTAGGTATATACATACAATCAGTTCCATACATGCAAGACGAGAAGCGACTGTCTAGGAAGGAGCATGGCGGAAAGAGATCTAGGGGTCATAGTGGACCACAAGTTGAATGTGAGTCAACAGTGTGATGCTGTTGCAAAAAAAGCAAATATGATTCTAGGTTGTATCAACAGGTGTGTTGTAAGCAAAACTCATGAAGTCATTCTGCTGCTCTACTCTGTACTAGTTAGGCCTCAGCTGGAGTACTGTGTCCAGTTCTGGGCGCCACATTTCAAGAAAGATGTGGAGAAATTGGAAAGGATACAGAGAAGAGCGACAAGAATGATTAAAGGTCTAGAGAAGCCAGGCTTCATGAACTGGGCTTGTTTAGTTTGGAAAAAAGAAGATTAAGGGGGGACATGATAGCGGTTTTCAAATATCTAAAAGCGTGTCACAAGGAGGAAGGAGAAAATTTGTTCCTCTTGGTTTCTGAGGACAGGACAAGGAGTAATGGGCTTAAAGTGCAGCAAGGGAGGTTTAGATTGGACATTAGGAAAAAATTCCTAACTGTCAGGGTGGTCCAATATTGGAATAAATTGCCAAGGGAGGTGGTGGAATCTCCCTCTCTGGAGATATTTAAGAACAGGTTAGATAGACATCTGTCAGGGATGGTGTAGATGGAGCTTGGTCCTGCCTTGAGAGCAGGGGGCTGGACTCGATGACCTCTCGAGGTCCCTTCCAGTCCTATAATTCTATGATATGCAAAACTATTCATTTTCATTTTAAATATAATTTTTAATGTGGGCCTTGACAGTCACAAATGAGGTGCACATATTTGCTGTTTCCAACAAATTTTGTAAATTTATTTGTTACAGAAAAATCAGACTTGCCCTATTGAGAAATGTAATTTTCATGAGAATTTTAAGAGAAAAACAGCTTTTTGTGTGTGAAATAGTATAACTTTTGTGTATTCCAAAACACACTTTTAATTTCAATGAGAAAAAATTGGAAGGAAAATGACTGATTTTTGTTGTCTTGAAACCAGGATTATTTACTAGTTTCACCAACATTTTTTTAGTACAACTCTACTGGAGATGGATGAATTAGTGTGCCTATCATTATAATTTGTGTGATTGCATGAAACCTTACTTTTTTGACACACGAGTGTCACGAGTGGTGTGATATTTTCCTGCTGTGTGCATTACTTTTTTCTCTCAGTTTGAGAACAATTTAAAGCAGGCTGCCTCTGGGTGCATTTACACAGCACTGTAACTCAAAGTTGCATAGCTCAAATTGCATATCTTATTTCAATGCTATTTCGAAGTAACTCATTTTGTCATTTGGTGCTATGATTTGGCGCTTTCTAAATAAAGCGCTATTTCCAAAATCTCCATAGAATGAGGTTTACAGAGATGTTGGAATAGCTACAGAGAGACAGGCAGTCTTTCACAACATTATTATTCACAAAGTGTGCAGTACACCAGTATCTTTCATCTTCAGTAACTCTAGTTTTTAATTAAATGCCTGATTGTTAAAACTAGATATCTATGCCACTAAGATTCTACCATCATATAGTGAAATGATTAACAAGGGCTCTCCTTGCAGGGGGTGCTGGGTGTCTGAGCTGAGGGGTGCTCTCAGCTAAGCTCAGGAGGGGTGTGTATGAATAGGCTGGTGGGTATCCTTCAATTGGGCTCTGGGTCCTAGGACTTGAGAGTATTTGGGCTGGGGGACCTCTGTGGTTGTGCTCTGAGGAAGGAAGTGGTGCAAGTGTTTGAGCTGAGGGTCAGGGAGAAGTGGATGTCTGGTCCCCTGATAGGACTGTGGAGAGGAAGGATCAGAGAAACAGGAACTGGATTGTCATAGGCTCTTTTACACTCTACTCTAGAGGGGGATTTTTAGCATGTGTTTGTTGTTATAGACATAGTTGCTGACTGGTTATGTGGAAAGAAATTACCAAAATAATTAAAACTGGCCTGATTTATATAGTGTTATTTTGACAAATGAAAATCATGTGCATTCTTTTTTATTTTACTATCTCATTGGTATATATTACTTTTTCTATACTGTAGTTGCTTTCTTTTATTAAATAAACATTGTCAGCAGATGTACAGGGTTTTTTTTTTTTTTTTTAAACATGTTGATGTACTGGGAAACTGAGTCACTTATTACTGTGGAGTAAGTAGTAGAAACTTTGGCAGGAAGCAAGGGACTTTTATGTGGGGTTTTTATATAGTAAATATAGGCAGCCTATTTAATTCCTCAGTTATTACTAAGCGTGAATTTATATCCTATTTTGGACACTCATTGATTTTTTTTTTAACTTTTTCGACAATGTATAGGTGGTTTCATTCTTCTTGATTGGCCTGATGTCCATGATGATTCCACTGTGTCATGTCTTTGGAGGTCTCGTTGCTGTCTGCCTCTTCATGGGTCTATTTGATGGCTGCTTCATTTGTATCATGGCTCCTATAGCATTTGAGCTGGTTGGTGCACAGGAAGTCTCACAGGCCATAGGATTCCTGTTAGGACTCATGTCTGTACCTATGATAGTTGGTCCACCCATTGCAGGTAAATGTTGTAACAATCTGTATAGCTAACATAGATCAATTTATATCAGATATTCATTTTCTGAATTCAAGATGAGGCACATTAGCATTTGTCTCCTCTTAAAGTTTTGTGCCATTTTGTTTGCTCCAAAATATAGGGTTACGTATCTTCTTTCCCTGTATCATTGATTTATCTTTAGTTTCCCTAGTTTACTTTTTGTCCTTGAATTGTTTTTTGTCCTTGGTATCTTCAAACACACAGGTATAATAGTTTGGCCTCCAAAAAGGAAGAACAGGCTTTCAGGTTGCGCTTAATGTTCTGTTTCTATTTCTGAGTGTACAGCCATAATCTGTAGTCCTTTGATCATCATGTGTGCAACCAACTAAGACTGTATCTGTTCTGCATACCACTGACAGCAACATGTAGTGTATATACAACTACCTGCTGCAGTGAAAGGCAGGCTGTATCCACACAGTGATGTGTCTGCGTAAGGCTTTGCAGTGGGGAACTGCCAGAACCTTTTCCCACTGCTGGAGTCTTTCATTGTGAGGGGGAAAAGACTCTAGCAATGTGGAGGCAACAGGACACTCCTCTGCTAAAAATAGTATTGTAGACCAGAGGAGGCATTGCTTGTGTTGTGGGGTACATAATCACAGGGTTCCTTAGACCTTAGTCCATCCTGTAATTTTCAGCATATATAGTCATATGCTTCCAACTCATCCTAGGTCTACCCTTTTCTTGTTGGATTTTTTGGCTTTCAACTGAGAGCCATTATTGGTGGTAGGTTACAATCCATTCATAATACATGTCCCTAGACATTGATGTCTTCTCTTACAAATGATTTGCAATAGAAATCTCACTCTAGCTATTTTTCTGACCTCATTGTTCGTTTTTCTTTCCTCATAGGTTGAGGAAAGGTCAGATCAGCCCTGGCCGCTGCAAACAGGGGCTGCTTGGTAGCAGCAGCCTCTATCTGTGGGCTGGCCCAGCTCCTTGATGGGACCCCTGCAGATGGGCTGCTTTGCAGCAGCCTCTCTTATTCTCCTCCTCCCCTAAGGATGGTGCTGGGGGAAACGGCTTTTAAGCCAGTTCCCCCCAGCACCAGCTCCTGTCCCTTTCCGCCCCCTTGCTGCCTCTGATGGGGGGAGTGAATACTCAAATCACTATTTGACTATCTGATAAGCTTATGCTTTTACATCCCTCCTGCTAACATCATTCTGTTACTATATATATGCTTTTAAAAATCTTTGCTTGGGTTAATAATTTGAATTTGACAGAAATGACATTTATTGGAGCACAAAATACCATATTCTAAAGCCAAATATGATTTTATGCTTGGACATATTTTTCAAGATTAAAATGTTAGTTGTTGTTCAATAAAATATATTAATAAACAAAATGTTCATTATAGAATTTCAGAATTTGTTTCTTTGTGGAAGTAAAGAAGAAGAGAGAGAATCCAACTTATTTTAATCTTTTTATTTCTAAATTATGGCCCATTAAGAGAGCAAATCAGTTGATATTTTGCAGAGGATACAGATTGGTGAGCTGGCAAATAAAGGCAGTGATGGAGATCAACCTGGACTGTTTGGTAAACTGGGTGCAATGAAATGTGTATTAATGTAGGCAAATGTAAGGAATACATATAGAAACAAATAACAGGCAATATTTACATAATTGGAAAACTGTACCTTGAAAAACAGTGACTTGACAAAAATCAAGGGGTCTTTGCTGATAACCAGCTGATTGTAAGCTCAGAAAATGGTACTCCTGCTAACCTGATTGAGACTTGATGTTGTTATTGGAGTAGATACCTAAATCATTAGGTGAAATTGTATATAAACGGTGCTGTACTGGTGGTGATAATAAATAGATCCTCACAGCCTTAATGTCTCTGAATCTATGAATACGTAATGCAGCTGCTGAGATTTTATTCAGAGCATATTCATGATAATTCTCTATTTCCCCAGGTATACTACGTGACTACCTAGGTACCTATGATGTAGCATTTTACCTGGCTGGAGTTCCTCCCATTATTGGAGGAATTATATTGTGTTTCATCCCATGGGTTCATGAACAGCAGCAGCCAAAAGAGAAAGCAAAAGCTGTCAAAGAAACAACTAAGAAAATGCTGGAAAACGAAAGCACTTCAATCTCAGGCCCAGCAGAAAAGCCCAGTAAAGAACCGGAGTCTGTCGTCTGATGCTTTATCTTTTCACTGGACTGAATTCATTTTTTATAGGAGTTAGATTCCAATTCTGGATTTCAATTGAAATTAGCATATTATTTTTAATGGAACTATTGCTCAGACTGCAGTTTTGTTTGGCAAAGAGCTAAGAACCTTTTATATCACTGAGCAGCTCATTTAGGAGTTCCCGAGTCTAGTTTCAATCTATATTTTTATGGCATTTGACGTTTATAGTATCAAGATATACCTAGTGATCCTGCACCGAAGGAAATATTTTGTTCTAATCCATCAGAGCATATTTCTGGAAGTGTGAAAGCTGTTGAGTTTAACTGACTCTTCAAGGGTGACTTCAATAATTTTACAAACTATGCAGTGGAGCAAATTTTTGTAGTGTTTTCCTGGAATTTCTGGTACCTCTTATGACTGATTTTTGTTTTGATTTCTTGTGCCATTTTTAACACTTTCTAAAATTCTATATTATGATCTTGAATAGTCATCTTTTTTATCCTAATTCTTGCTGAAATTATCTTGCATTGAGAGCTAAATTATTTAACAGATCCTCAGCTTTACTTTCTCTTAACATTGTTGTATTTGCTTATGCCTAGTCTGAGCCACTTTTATGCTGATTTCTAAGTAGCCTAAACATAAAACATTTTAGGATCAGTTTATGATAATACATATATTAAACACTCAAAGTGAAGGACATGAACTCACACAAGCAAATAGTCAAAATTAAGACTGTTAAACCATTACTACATCATCCTTTGTCCCCCCAGTGCTATAGTGAATCTGATTCTTTTTCAAGTAAACTTTGGAATAATTGATAATGTTTAAACCATACGAAGTGCAATACTTGGGTATAATAATATACAAGTTAGACAAAGACCAAATTCTGAATTTCTGTATTTTTCCTTCAAAGATTTTACTCTTTAAAAAATAACAAAAAGACAGCTTTAAGTGATTAAGTGTTCAATAAGATGCAGCTGTTCATGCCAGTAAATGGAAACCTATTATACATAAGAGCCATTAAAGCAATATTAAACAAATCAGGAAGAGATTTTGCACTACGTGAATATTACAGGATTATGGTTCTTCAAAATTTTGCATGTGATACAACTGCATCTTTTCAGGAAATATAGAGAAACATTTTGCATGAACAATTACTTACCTTTATATTTATTACGTGTGTACTCTTAGGTATTATAGTTGGGGTAATTTTTCCCAATATGCATTACTTTACACTTATCCACATTAAATTTTATTTACCATTATGTTGCCCAATCACTCAGTTTGGTGAGATCTTTTTGAAGTTCTTCACAGTCTGCTTTGGTCTTGACAGTCTCGAACAGTTTAGTATTGTCCGCAAACTTTGCCACCTCACTGCTTACCCCTTTCTCTAAATCATTTATGAATAAGTTGAACAGGATTGGTCCTAGGACTGTCCCTTGAGGAATGCCACTAGTTACCTCTCCATTCTGAAAATTTACCATTTATTCCTACCCTTTGTTTCCTGTCTTTTAACCAGTTCTCAATCCATGAAAGGATCTTCCCTTTTATCCCATGACAACAAACATGTGGACAAAGGGGATCCACTAGATATAGTATACTTAGATTTCTAGAAAGCCTTTGACAAGGTCCCTCAACAAAGGCTCTTGTGTAAATTAACACCTTCAAAGAACTCTAATAGATTAGTAAGACATGATTTCCCTTTACAGAAACCATGTTGACTTTTGCCCAACAAATTATGTTCTTTTGCATGTCTGACAATTTTATCCTTTACTATTGTTTCAACTAATTTGCCCGGTACTGACGTTAAACTTACTGGTCTGTAATTGCCAGGGTTGCCTCTAGAGCCCCTTTTAAATATTGGCATTATATTAGCTATCTTCCAGTCCTTGGGTACAGAAGTTGATTTAAAGGATAGGTTACAAACCACAGTTAATAGTTCTGCATTTTCACATTTGAGTTCTTTTAGAACCCTTGGGTGAATGCCATCCGGTCCTGGTGATTTGTTACTGTTAAGATTGTCAATTTGTTCTAAAACCTCCTCTAATGACACTTCAATTCAGGACAGTTCCTCAGATTCATCACCCACAAAGGACGGTGCAGGTTTGCTTCAGTCTTCACGGCTGAGGATATTAGGGAGATTCCCAAAGAAATCATTTAGTCTCTTTGCAATTGATTTAGTCTCAATCAATAGTCTCTCTTTACAGAAACTATATGGGCAATCACATTATTCTTGTTCTTGTGTTTCCTTCCATGTAATATTGTTCAATATTTTGTGTTATCATTGAAAAGTCACAGAAACCTATGTGTATTGTAATGTGAAAACCATCTTATTAATTTCATTTGACTTTGAAAAGAAAAATGAATATTTATTTACTTGCTGATGATTTCAAAAACTTGTCTATAAAAAGCTAAGAATGAATTCCATTAGAAATGGTCAAGAACTGAACACAAGAAGGAGCCATAGGGATCTGTACTTGAGCCAATGCTATTTAATATTTTCTTCCAGACAATTTATAAAGATATTTTATTGCTGCAAATTTGTATAGATGACACAAATAGGGTAGTGGTAAATAATGATAGAATGATCTAGGTCAATGGTTCCCAAACTTTTCGGCATCACGCCCCCTTTTTGATTTTTGAAAAAACCCTCAACTTCCCCTCTCCCTCCCAAAAATAGCAGCAAAACTTGTTGAGCAAAAAAAAAAAAAGGAACTGACCGGGACTGAAAAACAGTTGTGGCCCCTTTAATTCCCAGGACCAGTGTTTATTAAACAAACAAACAAAAGGTGCTGGTACTCCAGGGGAACAGTTGTTGATACCTCCCCTCCCGCAAAAGCTTGCCTTTTTAAGAGCAGAGCAGGAATTGCCCTTTTAAGGAGGCCATTTTGAAATCTGCCTAGGATGCTCCATCCTCCCCCCCACCCCAGCCAGTCCGCACATATTCCAACAGACACCTGAGCCAGGAAAAACAGAAAATACCGGACATTTCACATGGTATTTTCTGATTTTTTTTTTACTGGACGGACTGGGCTCTTTCTGGGGCAGGAGGAGGGGAGGCGATTGACCCGGGGGGGAGGGGAGGGGAGGATTTCTTTGTGCCCCCAGGTTTGGGAACCTATGATCTAGATGACTCTGCAAAGTGGACCCATTTGAAAAATGTGTTTTATAATATAAGCAAGGTCATACAGCTAGAATCAAAGAATAATTTCTCAATTACAGGATGTGACTGAATTTTTGAAAGTAATGATTCTGAAAGGGACTTAAGATTTTTTGTGATTAACCAATGAAATGTGATGGCTGAGCTAAAATCACCCTGAAATGAATAAATGGGAATACTGAGTAAAAATAGAGAGATGGCATTAGTTATGTTGATGGCATTTGATTGATCATTGTTACAAGATTATATTCTATACTGGTGTTCACGTTTTAAAAAGTATGTTGAAAAATGGGAAAAGTTACTTAGATATCTATGGAATCAGTGTCTCTTGAAAACATATCCAACCGCTGGCAAAACAAACAATAGCAATCTTTTCCCCATTCATATGAATTCACTGTTGCATGATCTGGTCATACAGTTTTTGTAATTCCCAACTGAGTTTCTGGATAACAGAGTCAATGCACTCAGTACTTGAATGTTGTAGCTTTGACTTATAGAAATCCATTTGCTGATTAAGCACTCAGATACTACAATGATAGGTATAAGAATCTAATATAGAATTGTGGTTTTGGTTCCAGGATATATGCAGAAGAACATTTTAAAAAGTAAATATTTGTCTGAACAGAAAGCCAGTAGTTGAGGAAAAATAATTTAGGTTCTTATTTTTTAACAATGATGTAAGCACAGTACCTGTAATTCTTCATAGTGTTTTTATTCGTAAATACTTGGCTGACACTTTTTATATGCCTTTTGTTCTGGTATATGAAAGGTGTCAAAACAGTTTTAAGAATTTCAGAATTGTGTATAGAAATCGTAGACTGGCTTTATTTTATACTACAGTGTGTGCTAACACTGAAGACACTGACAAGTGGTTGAATGTCTTTGCAGTATTATGTATATTATTTTGACACCAATTAACATTCATATTGGCAGCCTTAACACCATTTTTTTTTCTAAATCTGTTTTGTTAAAAGCATAAGGATTAAATGTCTGTTATTCATGGTGCTAAAATAATTGTAACCAAAACCTCAAATTACTCAGAATAAAGCAGTGCAACTTTTGTAGTCTGGCACACTCAGGGTCTAACTAGTGCTGAACCAGAGTTTGCCAAACCATAGGAAGTCAATATTGTACTAAGTGGGTCTCTTTATTTTTATATCACTGAAGTGAATAAACGGAATAGCCATTGCAATGCTGTTTAATAATGTGTGACTGATGCACCCTATATAAGCTTATGACTAGTCAAGGCTTATCAGCTCTTTTTATAACTGTTAGTGTTTACACAATTTTATTGTATTGGTACAAGGAAATAAGTAGATAAAGCATACAAAACATGCTTATGAATGCTTAGCAGCATTATCAACACTTCCGTTGCTTGCTAGGCTCTTGGAAGACATGTAGGGGTATTTTAGAGCTAAATAACTGCATAGAACATAGAGAGCAAGGACTGGTAGCTATAAACAAAATTTATGGGATCGTGGAAAACTTGGACACACCCACGATAAGCAGACATCCAACTAATTAAAATCATCCTAGACAATGGATGTTGCCATACTAAAGGTTAAACTTTTATAGCTCATCAGTGGATTTTAGTTTTATAGGTATCACTATAGTCCACTTAGGTTTTCATATGATCTACTCCTCCCTCAGATTTGCATTTCTGTATAGAAAAAAAGAACTGCTTACTTACCTATTTACAATTACATTCTGATTAGATTTGCTCCATTTAACTTGGAGTTACATTACATTTTAAATGAATATACGGTGCAGCCTAATTCAGTTTAATCACACTGGTTAAATATGAAAACCTCCTGAATGATTTAGGAGCCTAAATAATTGACTTTCAGTGGCACTAAGGCTCCTTTTTTACCCACTGTTAGGGTTGCCTAGCCTCCTGGAGTCAGCATCAATCTCCCAGGGTATGTCTACACTACCACCCTAGTTCGAACTAGGGTGGTAGTGTAGACATACCCTGGGAGATTGATGCTGACTCCAGGAGGCTAGGCAACCCTAACAGTGGGTAAAAAAGGAGCCTTAGTGCCACTGAAAGTCAATTATTTAGGCTCCTAAATCATTCAGGAGGTTTTCATATTTAACCAGTGTGATTAAACTGAATTAGGCTGCACCGTATATTCATTTAAAATGTAATGTAACTCCAAGTTAAATGGTAAAAGCAATCAGGAGATTTTAATATGATATTTAAAAAAAAAAAAAGACTTACATCATGCTGGGGGGAGGGGGAACCTCCCAAAATAGTTTGAGTTGACAAACCTACCCACTATGACTATTTGTCCTCTTTTGTAAAATCCCTATTCTAACACGTGAGCTATATGATGGGAAGCCTGTACATAAAAAAAGAAAATTAGACTAGGGTAGACACTGTTGTAAACTAGCAAATTATGATGGAATAACTTTCCCTAACATTCCCTAAAGGTTCTGGCATAAACATTTAAATGTAGATTTCTGTGCTGAGTGATAACACTGCTCTTGATCTTACTCAGTATTTTAGAACTTTTCTCAACATTTTAGTGCATTTTATTAAGTTTTTATCTTGCATTATCCATTTTGTAATGTGCAATCAAATGTAGAAGAAATAAATCACTTTAGCACAATTAACTGTTAAACCATTTGGGTTGACAGATTCTCCTACATGAAAAAAATGTGAAATCTCTTCTTACCTGAAAAAACTGCAATAAATTTTTAATGCAAATTGCATATATTTGTGTGGTGTTTTATGTCTATATTTAAAATTCCTCAGAAAATGAAATTCAAACAGAAGTAAAACTCTCTACAAGAAGCACAAAGTTGTAATTTAGAACAGAATACAGCATATTGAACTATAGTCTTCTAGAGGGCGGGTATCATGTCCGGAGTATAACGCTGAGCCAAAGAACGTCATTGGCTCATCATTTGGTTCATAATTGAAGTCTAACTTCTGGAGGTAAAAATGGGCGCTCTAATGGTTGGTTCTTCACCTTCAGCTCCCTCCACACACTCCTGTCCTCTTGCTCCATTCGCATCTCCAGAAGCAGCATATTCCTCCACTTGCTTAAGTGTTCCCTGGCCAAGTGGGCGGATTGCATTTGCTCCTTGAACATGTCATCCCTAGTCTGTTTTTACCAGAGCCATGGGAATGTGCAGCATGCTCAGTG